GTGTGTGTGTGTGTGTGTGTGTGTGTGTGTGTGTGTGTGTGTGTGTGTGTGTGCGCGCGTGTGCGTGTGTGTGTGCGTGCGTGTTTGCGTGTGTATATGTGTATTTATTAGAATGTGTGTGTGTTATTTATGTGAATTTATATGTGTAGAAATTATTTGCGATTTTTTTGTTCGCTCTCTCTCCCTCTCTCTGTCTCTGTGTCTCACTCTCTCTCTTCATGTATGCACATGTGTGTGCGTGTGTGTGTGTCCCTCTCTCTAACTATCTATCGCTCTCTGTCATGTCTGTCTGCCTCTCTGTCTCTCCCCCTCACACTCTCTCTCTCTCTCTCTTTCTCACTGTCTCTGTCTGTTTCTCTGTCTCTCTCTTTTTCTCTCTCTCTCTCGTTTCATCAGTAACCACGAGCAATCTCTATACCAATCACGACGATTATGCACTTAAAGTGATTACGTCACCGTAAATAGATAAGGCAAAACAATTAGGGCCACTTTTTCACACAAAATGCAAGTGATTCTGTTACACTTTTATGGTTAAATTGCTGCACTATACTTCCTATTTTACTATTCCGTTTGATGTGAACAAACACTCGTGGCTCACACTTAGCCCATAGCAAGCATTTAATGTCGTGATCAATATAACAAATCGCCCAGATTTTTGAGAAACTAGTTGAGAAACAATCTTATCAGGTAAGAATTTGAGGATACATTTAGTGCCGTTAGTACTTACTTTTCATCTAAAAACATTTCAACAAAATGTTTACAAAATAATATAGACCATAGAAAATTCGTGACGTAGTCAATTTAACTCGAAACTTTCACGCGTTCCGGCGTATGGTAGGGCATTACAAACTATATTTCGTCAGTGAATCACAAACGTTATCGCACATACACATACACGCACACACGTGCACGCACGCACACAAACACGCCCACACGCACGCGGATAGAGGAACGGAAAAGAAGGCGAGTGTGTGTGTGCGTCCGTGCGTGCGTGCGTGCGTGTATGTGCATGTACGAGCGTGTATGTGCATTGGAGTAAGTAGTGCTATACAAGGAAGTGTAACTGTCGACATGACTTGATAGATATCTGCACGGTTGTAGGCCACGGTTCCTCTGTTGAGGAGGGTTGACGCTATCTACGCTCACTATGGGTTATACGCTCCCCACCGACTGACTGACTGGTCCAGTAGGGCTACGCTCGCTACACATAACAACGCCCATGACCTCCTCCGGGCTCCGATCGCGATCAAGCGATAGTTTCAAGCCTAGCTGACTCACCTATCTAGCAAAATGCAATCGCGTCGGATTTAAGTCGAACCCTCGACGACGGCGACTGCAACGATGACGATGACGATACCGTTGGCGGCGCCGACGATGATGATGACGATGGCGACAGCTTCGTTTATTTACTATAAGCATTTAGCGTTCATTGAACATACGATGTCGGTCAATCGGTTACAGCAGAAACATATAGACACTTGAGATATAAAGGTGACACATATAGTGTGCTGTAATAAGTGTGTGCCTCGCCCCCAGCGCGACATAGTCTACATTTTGCACGTGCTTTGTATATCAAGAGCGTATAAAGAAGGAGAGCGTACAACGGTGAAATGCTGAAACCATGTTGCAGTATTAGTCGAATTAAAAAATTTTCCCCGTTTTATTTTGACGGTTATTTGCAGTATTATTGATCAGCTGTCCTACCTTGTTAATATAAAACAAACCGCATGTCCCTACGATGCCCCTACGCTGAGATAATGAGAGGTATATGGTATATAAATGGAAACGGATATGTAAATAGTGAATATGGGATTTTCGCCGAAAACCGACTCGATATCACTTTTTTACTGTGACTGTCTCTCGCTTTGTGGCCAGTGAATTGCTTCCGGTCGCCGCCGCCTTCTTTATACGCTCTTGTTTTATCTAACATCAGAATGATTTTAATGTTGTAGATATCGCCGAGCAACCGTCAAAGATGGCTCTCGTGAAAGCTCTGCTAGTTTTGCTTGCGATGGTGAGTACTGTTCACGTTCATGTTCATGTTTATGTTGGTATTTCCAAAGTCCTTATCTAATCCTATACCTACGTCTCTCTCTCTCTCTCTCTCTCTCTCTCTCTCTCCTCC